CTCTGAGGAGTACTTTGTAAAGTGGACTGAGGTGTAGTTATATTTTTTCGTCATTTCTCACCCATACATGGGAGCAGACATCCTAGTCCTTGGGTGTGTAAATCGCTTTTTATTCTTCTCATGAGGAAATCTGCCTAAATTTTGCGATTTGTAGTCGAAGTATGTCAGCTTGTTTTCCTGACCAGTACTAGAGCTAATAAACTCACTGTGGCTATCTTTCCTGCCAGACGCAAACTTTAGCCACACTACCTACTCCATCCTTAGCATGGCACACTTAAACTCGTGGCTAGGCTGTTCTTAAAACCACCGCCTAGAACTTACGGCTGCTGAAGAGTTTATTTATTACCTGTGTTTCGAACAGAGTGTAGAGATATACAGTCACACTGCAACGGAGTCACTGAGTTGGTGTCCATTCAAAATCCAGTAGTCCACGTCGTGTTCCAGTCTGCACAGGTAAATAAATTGAATATTGAAGGTTCGATTGATTTGACAAACTTCTTTTCTCCTCTTCACTAACATCCCATTAGCTACAAGGTGACATGCTGTGCAGTGGATTCAGTGTGATCCGAGAAAAGTTGACAAGTTGTTGAACAGCTGTGACTCGAACTAAGTTCCTCTGCCAGTTGTCACTTTTACAGGCGCCCTGAACACGCCCACCCAGTGCTGAAGGAAAGCTTTTTTACCGATTCCGCCATAATACAACTAAATGACGAAACAGCTGGGAACCTGGTAAACCTATGGATGCATGTGAATAAGCTCATGTTAAGAGACCTACCAAGTACATGTGAACATGGGTGAAACGAGCCTGGAAGTTGGGAATGCATAGAATGACTTTTAGAGAGTTAGAACCTTACGGAGTGCTAGTGGTGTACTTTCAAAGTGAAACACCTGAAACAAGGCAGGAAACTGAAGAACAAGTCGAAAGACAAAACATATCATGTATATTTACGGCCTAAATTTGGGAACCTCCCAGCCTCTTTTCGTATAAGCTTGCATTTACGTTTGTCAGTTTTATGAAACTTTCAGCTACTGCTTAATAGCATTTTGGTACCCACTAGCACAAACCAAATATTGGCCCGTAGCAGTAAATAATTCAGCGAAATTATGAGAATACACAATTCATCACCCAAAGTTGGATGCTGATCTTTACTGTATTACTCAACCCGTTAACATGAAAGCTCGCGGTCAAGCATATATATGGCTGGACTTATCCGGCATGTTGGTTGAAATTTCGCTCGGCAAATTTTTTTTGTCAGTAATTTTTAATAAAATTTTGTTATATGTTTTCTGGATTGATAGGAATTCTCATTTCCTGGCTAGTTATTTTGGTGTCCGCGTCATGTAATCTGACTGCGACACACTTAGCATATTGGTTGTAATGATTAGTGTTTCATGCTGAATGCGTCAAAACATCTCTACAATGAAGAAGATAGGGTAGTTGGGGGGTAATGTCATCTACACAAATAGTTTATTTCTTGTAGAAGCTGCAGCTTTCGACGTAGTGTCATTTAATGAAGACTACGTCAAAATGTGGCTATTTTCGCGTGAAGAACAGTACTATTTTACAAAAGAATGCTATCAGTACATGGGAATCACCTATAAATGCCAACAGAACGTAAAACCAATGTGTAAACGAACGGCTACGGAACTGCAATCCAACATAACCGACTAACATGGACGAAAATGACCTTTGAGTGTCTCACTCCATCAATGACCTTGAGCATGCGGGATAATTTCAGCCCATATATATCATTTGGCACACCATCGTGTCGCGTTTGTTTGTTCGTTCAAGATCCATGGCTAGCTAAGCATCCAACATCATACTGAGATTTTGACCCCAAAGCACAATTCTTGGTTTTGCACTATCACTTTGGTGTTTCTATTTGCCTCTAGTCTACGCAGAACAAATACCGTGGGAGTTGTGTGCATGTGAACCTGCAGATAACACTTCGGAGCAGCTGAAGCGCCCTCTGAAGTGGTCATTTATCAGCTTCTGACCTACCCAACTAACAACATTCAGTTCAACATGATGTTCACCTTCAATTACACTGAATTATATGACTAAATAGTTTTTAATGTCTCATTAATAAGTTAAACCTTTGTGGAGTGCGTAAAGATGTGATTGTATACTTTTTGGTTATTTGTAGAAATTAGACATATTGCACATAATTTTTGTTTAAAACGCTTCTGGTTGGAATACCCTTGGCTTCCGTGTACGATTGGAAAATACACTCTGCTGTTGGAGACTTCGTCTTCTCCTTGATTTCTTTGGCTTACTAGCTCAGCTCTCACCGTGTTGTATCTTTCGGATTTATTGTAGGAGTCCACTACGCTCAACCGAAGACAATTATACAACCGGGACACAGCAGCTACAACCTACTCCGTCCAAACAACTAACGTCTCCGTGGGTTATATAAATAATTTGTAGCAGAGGACTTCAACTTTATTTCCAAGTAACCCTTTTGTTGATATAACGTGTCGTTGCATTTTTGGTAATATACTGTTACTTAACATTCCACCGACTTGAATTTTATTTCTCATATTTTGTAATACTAGTGAAATCTAACATAAGTCCCCTACACCTTCCCCTCCTTCAGATAAAACATTTATTTTCACACAAATGTAGTAGGAAAAGTGTCATGGGTAGGATGTGAATTATGTATAGTGAAGGCCCTTTTTATGCACTGTTTCTCTAAGTTTTTTCACTTCTTAGCGATAATTCATCTAGTATATCAAAAGATTTTAGGCACTGTGACTACGAAAACTAGGAGAGTATTAACTATCTAGGCAACGGAAGCTTAAAACCAGTTCCATGTTCCATTTACACAAAAAAGACTATTATGGTGTCGCTTGAGATATATGATAACCCATAATAAGTGAAAGGATACGTCATGGTAACCTTTTTGTTCACTCGTGAACATTCCTGCATCACTGATAAATGTTACTGATTGTGATACCAAATCCTGCTACCGAATTATAATGAGTATTATTTTGAATAACAACGACAGTGAAAAGTGTAGGAATAACTGCATACATATATGATGAAACTGTCTATTAAACAAAAATACAATAAATGGATAAAACCGAAAATTTAAACTATAGCATTCATAATTCAATTCAGTTTTATATGCGAGTTGCAAAAGTTCGTGCCACTGGAAGGTAAGCAGTAGTTTGAAATGACTTGCGCTAGATACAGGGAAGGGATGTGGAAAAGGAACTAAACCCAAGATCAAGAAAAGTGCAGAATAATAATAAATTTTTTAAAATTTACTAACTTCCGTCTCGACACATACAGTTTGGTTTTTTTCCGAAGTAGTGAGCTCATACCATGTACTTGCATTAAAAGTATCTATGTTTAAGCACTGGCTTTCAGGGAGTTTTATCAATTTTTGTTCAGAAAATACTCAAACTCAAAAGCCCTTGCAAAAGTGTTCTGTTCCATGGATAAGAGTGGTTCTCAAATATCCCTACCATCAGATCCGCTTATTAACAGTCACTGCCGAAAATAAAATTTTTTGTCAGCCAATCCCGAAGTACGGTCAATTCCACGTTGCCGGCCATTCCTATCTTCGGCTTCCTGCAGGATCGGAAGCTGCAAAATAAACGTGCTGTTTAGCTATAATATTTATTATTCAGGTCATAAAATATGTCGATTTAAAGCGGTTAAAAAGATGTTGGTGAGGCTTGAGACTAGGCCCAGAACACTTCACTTCATAAACGTTTGCGTAACAAGTGACATCTGGTCGAAAGTGAAAATGTGGAAAGTGGATGTTCTAAACAATCATGACAAAATGGTTGACTTCGACTTCAAGTAATCGAGGGAAATTACAAAATTCTGAGTCCTTCTAGGGAGTTCTCATGTATATACAAATATTTGAAGCAGAAGGATCAATCAACCTCTCCATCCTTTGTAATCATGCAGCAAAATGAATGTCGGCAGTAAAATTGTTGAAGGAATACCCAAACCTTTCTAAAGCAGCTTCTCAATCGACTCGAATTCTTTCCATACATAGTAGATTTTCATTACTGACATGCAGGCTAATCTGTGTCTTTCATACAGAACTATATATTCGATATATCATCTAAGAGTTCAAAGGTGATAGTTACTTTCCTTATCTCATGGGACTTATTTCAGTAGGAAGTTCATTTGGAAATTAAATTGTCTGATTTCTATTCGATGTCTTAGAGAAATGCGTTAAATGCGCATTTTGACCTTTACAACAGTTCAACTGTTTGCCATTCGATCACACGGACGCGGGGATGTCAAAAAATATGCTGCAGTTCGACTGCTCAAAAATAACACACTGATTTCAAGATGGAGGTGCGTACCCAGACTTAAACCCTTTAATTAGAGAGTATTATTTCATGATAATAATCGCAATGAAAAATTGGGGCTATCAATTCAATATCCCCAAGTACGTAGTCTGAAGGCCGAAACTTAACATGCCATGTATTCATTTCGCTTATGAATTGGAAGTAAAGAATGTGAAAATTTAGCTGCACTTAGGAAACTGAGGTATGAAACATAAGGATGAATAATCAGTGTATCCAAGTTAAACAATGTAGCCTCTTCCCTGAAATTATAAACTTAAAGATCCCTAATTTTTGTTTCTGCATTCTCAGTATTAGATTTTTATATAAGATTTCTCTACTATCATACACTGCAGGCTCAGTCGTTTTAAACTTCGACCCTAGCATCTAAGTTTTAAGGGTAGTGAAACACCATGGCGAACGACTTGCAGGTGAAAGGACCAAATCTTGTGTCAGGAGGGCTGTGATCTTAATACATCACAAGCTACAAGTCAGATATAACCTACTTTCCACACCACTCATCTCTGGGGTCTGTCAAGGCTACAGAAAAGGACAGACAGAATGGACTACTAAGAAACTTATTGAAGACCAGAGATTATTATCTTACTACCAAGAAGATAGCTTAGTAAGATTAATCTAGCTCATACAAACGTGTTAAATGGTTGTTGAATACGTGTGCTCGTGATTAAGAAGCGCGTCTGTAGTGTGGGCGTTATGAACCTTCAAGGTCAGTAGCTTCAGATGCCCAAACAGAAGAAAAAGCCGAACAGACCTGCACTAGAGTTCATCAATGAGCCTTTTTCGAAGCCTAAAGGAGAGCTTGTGTATAAAACATGCTCAGAACTTTATCCGGAAGTAAAAAGAGCACCTACTGACGAAGCCTACTTCTGGGTATGTCGTTAAGTTCATTCTAAGTGATTCTGTAATCACAGTGTGAACCAACTTTTAAAACAGTGAAAGTTGAAAAGAAAAAAACACTAACCAGGAGTTCGTCGAATCCACGTTATGCCCTACCGGAGCTGGACTTTGTTGAGAATCAGCCAGTTCAAGTAAGAGTAAAATATGTATGATTACTGTTCATTTTGGTGCCGTGGTGTAGAAAAATATCTTTCAGTCACAATTACTGATATTTTTATGAAACTGAAGGTAGAATGCATAAATTGTACAGCATAATGAGCACAGAAATGCACCACAGACACTAGGTGGAAATGTGAATTTTCGGTAGGTGGCAAGTATTTGCCATTATGCTCCTTGGAAATTACCATTAGACAATTCAGTAACAGTTTTTTGGTGTATATAATGAGTTCATGACTATTTACGCTTAAAATCAACCAAGACGTACATAAACCTTTATAAAGCGTGTTCAAGAATGTTCAATTCCGTCTGTAAGCATTTACCAATTCTCTCTGAGGACGTATAAAATGCCTATAAAAGTTAGGTGGAAACTTTTATGAAATGGACATCTTTCTAAGTATTCCTTTCTTCTGTTAATTTCAAGTTACCTAAATTTCTCTCACTACCTGTTGGATATTTTATAAGGATAAACCATCATTCTGATTTCTCCTAAAGTTTTTGCGATGATGAATATTAAATGTAACAAGTTTTCTCACTTTTTAAAGATAGCCTTCACCTAGTTAGATTCGCCCTCTTTACATAACAAATTACTCATTGGTTGTGTACATGTAACATTCTTTTTTAGTAAAAAAGTAGTTGGACTGATGTTTATTTAAATTTACTAAATATGATTCGTGGCCCGGAAGTAGAATACTTTCCAAGCACACATTTCGTCCGGAGTTCGATACCCGACTTTTGCACTCCTAAACCTCACTAACTCGGTAGTGAGCTCAGTAAACAGAGGTGAGCCGTCAGGCTAGCAACCCTATGCCGTAAAAATAAAACCACTGCTATTAAAACTTCAAAGCTCAACTTTGGATTCTTATGTTCCAGTCGAACTGCATAGGAATAAAAAAGGATTGAGTATAACTGTCTTTATTAAGGACTGAACGATGGTTTAAAACTAAAATACTAAAATTACGTTCGCTTTATTTCTGTTATTGGTGTATATGTGGACTGATTATTTATCTTTGTAGTAATTTCTGGATTTCTTTCACCATTGGAAAACTAACTGTTCATTAAGTCTTAATAACTTGATTGAATAATTTAACGAGACCCACCTACCAATCGTATTTATTCGACGTATAAACTAGAAAATGTCAGGTAATCATTATGAGGCCAAGTTAAACTTTAAGCACCACTAACTACCAATGGAGTTCGACCGCACTAATAAACTTGTAACGCTAACCGGAAAATAATGCTGTTATCAATAAAATATGCCATTAAGTGGGATATCTCGCAAGTTGCAGCTTATGTTTGAGAACGAATAATTTACCTTTCAAGCCAAGGACAAGTTAGGGTTAGGTTAACTAAATAAAGGCGATATTGGAGTTGGTCCGAGTTAGATTACAGTTAGCTTGTGGATATGTTCACGTAAGAGTTGAGTGCAGGAAAGATTAGGGTTATTGTTAGGCTTAGAAGACCTATATAACTGCATGCATAGAATATGGTTAAATCAATGTGTTGATATAAGAATAGAACTTGTGCACTGTGGCAGAGTATAATTCCATTGTGGTTGGTGCTTAAAGTTTAACTCTGCCCATTATGATAAGGTGTGATCCAAGTGCTTTATCTCCAATTAACTTTTCCTCCACATTTTAGGAGTAAAAACCACCTACATACTTCCATTAGTATACAAAATTTAGTCGTTTGGTAAATTTCCGCTAGTTTTTGTTTCTTTTTTTAAGGTATTCTTGCTCACCTAGTTTTCGTGTATACTTTTTATTAAATAATAAAAAGAATGAACTTCGGGAATGTTATTCACCAAACACTCGTAATATTCCACTCAGTTGATAACGAACCACACTTGTGTATGTATGGGATAAGCGTACTACATGGATGCACCCACATTTCGGTTGGTGAAGTTAACTTTGGGATTGTGACCGGGTGGTTGATAGTCAAGCGCCTAGACTAATGATTTACAGCTCATTTGACTTCCAGTTAGTTAGTTAGTGGATTTTTATGTCCAACCTACTGTCTTTCTTTTTGTCCTCAGATCAGAACATTGGATCCTTCTTCTTTGCATTATGAACAGTAGTGAATTGATCAAGACAGATTAGTGAATAAAGAATATTTCTTCTCGATAATTTCCCCAAGATCTACAGTTATACATACAAAGTAGTTAAAAGGTAATTACTATTGACAACAGTAATGCTTTCTAAATAACAGTGAATCACAGTGATCAATAGATCCGCAGTTCAAAATGTGTGTGTGTGTGATAAGTCTCTAAATGCGATTCCAATCTAAAGGTGATATGCCAAGTGAAGTAATAACTAACAATTTAAGAAAACAAATTCAAAGAACAAATGGACCGATTAAGTAATGCTAGATTGTAAGCAAAGTACATACAATACGTTTTAATGAAGGGGTATGATAAGAGAGGGGTTGGAAATATAAGTAAGGCGTGATGGGGAAGTCATCAGTTGGTTAGGTTTTAATAGGCCAAGGGGAAGGGGGATAATGGCTGTACGCGCTTCTTTTGAATGCAACTATAGAGACTGATCAAGAAGTTATCGAGAAGAATATTCTTTGTTCACCAATCTCAGTGTTTTCGAAATTTTTCATGGACATCTTTAATCAATTTGAATTGATAACCAGTACATTTCATATGTATGTGCCTTTCTTCAGTAACGATTTCTAAACTAAGACATTTATTTCTTTGAAGTGATTTATATTCAACAGTTGAATTAAATTTGTTGCCTGTTTCTGACTAGGTGTTTGTGAGTTTCTGTGTAAATTTTGTCTCCATACATACTGAGATTATTTTCAAAATGGTTTTATTACGTCCTTTTGAACCATTCATTTAATGTTATCTTCGAAATAAGATAGTGGCCTTGTTGATGAATAATATGGTTATAAGCTATGTCGGTGTTATATTGTGCCCGTAGAACTTCAATAAACTCTTTTTTTCCACAGGAATTTTCGTAACACCGCCATCAATACACGTGAAGAGTGTAAAGTAATCCCTTGAGACATAAGAAATATAATGGAATGAAGTGATTTACATATATGTAATAGAAATGTAGTACAGTTAATTATGTTGTTGTTGCTGCTGCTGTCACCTTCCTTAATTGAATTCACTAAACTATTTGACATTTTTAAGTTTAAATTATTTGAGTCTCTGCTAATTCCTCGCCCCTCATTTAGAACTGAACACTCGGTTTTTATAAATTTTACGATTATGTCTTACCATGTGCTAAAAGAGATGTATCGTGAAAAATATTCATCAGGACACTAGAAAAGAAAACAGCAAAAAGCTCAGGAAAGATATCTCCCCGGCGAGTTCATCCTCAAACGCAGAACAGTCGCCTTTTTAAGCATAATTTCAAAATAGTAACAAAGAGTGCTTAAAAGACGTAATAAGTTTCAACTTTTTGTGAAAGTTTGAAGAAGTGAATGTAGATTACAAGGGGCACAGAAACAAATTGCGTAGGATTAAAAAATAGTTACTTAATATGTGTAAAGACAGGTATGGACGGAATGCGCTTAGAAACAAACTGAAATAATGGTTTTCTTAACTGAAGACGAAGGGAATAAAAAAAGGCAAGACAAAAGAACAACTAGGGAGTCAGAAAGAAGTAGATCCATGGTAGATATAAAAGTTGGGCTCATTTCTTTTGATGAACCCATGGCTCTGGCTTCCCGATACACATATGTTCAAAAGAAACTAGTTCCACCTCTACATTTGCCGTGGATTTAGTTCTGTTTGGCTGCTTATCTGTCTGTTGTTTTTCCCCATTCCCTTTATACTTTATTATCTTCACCATTATAGATAAGATTTTATTTTAATAAGTCACACAATGTTATACAGTAATGTTAACTGATGATGTTTCGAGCACAAACTACTGCTCATAATCATATCACTCACACAACTTCTTACTTCATTTATATAAATTTATACTTGTCAACCAAAATGTAAAGAAGGAAACTAAGTTTTGTCTCTTTTTAGAAATAATTATCTAATGTCGACTATTGCTCAAAAATCGTTGTTAAATTATCTTGTATATTTCCAAAGCAAAATCTATATTTTAATGTCTTTCTCATCTCTTTATCTTTTTATAGCCAGTGTTACCTAATCTTAAAAAGCAAAAGTCTTGCCCGTTATTTCCTTTAAAATCTCCTGAAACAGTCAATCGAAATTGTATTGTATTAGTTGAAGAGACACCAGAAAATCATAATCGTATGAGTAAAAAGTTATATGAAAAATAACAGGTGAGTGGTTTTTAAAACATTCTTTTTCGGAAGTTAAGTGATGAAGGTTCCTTTTCTCATTATAGTTGAACTGCCTTTATTATTATTTTCTCCTCCGGTTCCGAGTGGGATGTTAGGCTACAACAGCACATCACTTTATCCTATTCTCTGAAGTCCTTTTTAGCTTGCCCCACAATTGCATATAGTTTCTCATCTCCTCTTCTCACGACCTCTTGTATGTCATCCTTGGAGCTTCGCCCAACTCGTCGTCTCCCATTCGGGTTCTATTAGAGTAGTGGCGTGTGGTGCGCGGTGTCATTCGACGATCTCCTCAGAGTGTGTCGGACCATTCTACATTTTTTTCGACATATTTGTTGTGCAGTAGGTTCTTGGTCGGTTTGTTCCCATTCATATTTTTTAGGTAGTTTGGATTTTTCCCAATTTACCAATTAGTCATTAGTGCTTGCCTACCAGCCGGATAGCCGTTCTGGCTTTCTAAACCGACTCAGAAGGGATACGCCACTAATAAACTCGACCTCAAAGGAGCAGTACGGCCGTCTGGTGTTAAGATCACTTTAATGTAGCTAGCAAGCACTACTGGTTGATGTGAGTGGTATACAACTACTCATTTCAGTCAATCAGTAGTACATAGTTTAAATTTTTTTTTCAGACATATTCACCTGCCAGTTTATACAGTTTCAGAGAGATAATGTTTGAAATAATCGAAAAGTTTTGTGGTTCAAGTAGGTGATTTTGATGTTTACATTCGCGTTTACTTAACTGAGTGATTTAATTGCGAAGCTTTCGTTGTCCTCTTAGACTCAAACTTCAATATGAATTGAACTTATTTGTATTCTCTGTATGAACGATAGGTATAATTCTATCTGCTGACAACCTCTATCGCTGTTGGTTGTTAATTCGCGTAGTTTACGTTTTACTGATATGCTCAAACCAGGTTCACATTTAATAGTTTGAAGAAATTTGATTGTTGGGTATGTGATATTCATTACTATAAAAGTTTTTGTATTTTCCGATGAATGAAAAGCAAAACGATACTGTTGTTTTTACTAACGTCTCACTGTTTAATGCTTCTGACAGCTTTATCAAAGTATTATTAATCCAGAATTTATAAAATCTCAGCTTATATATAACAAGTTAATCATTGTTCATCAGAATGGGGTAATTTTTACGTTGTCAAGTTGGTAAAGATAACAAAACTATGTGTAGACATTATATAAGTAGCATGTGCTTACATAGTGAGATTGCTTATCACATTCATGTTGATTTGGTCACTTGATGTGGATGGGGGAGGGGTGTTGGAAGCAAGTTAAATTCTGTTTTAGTCCATCGTTTGCATTCAGACAATTTGGATCCCATTTGATATGAAGTGCTTCAGATATCAGGCGTTCTTTGTGATTTCTGAAATTTTTCTGGATTATTTCACCGCTGTCTAAATCAATTTTGTGGTCTGATCGTATAGTATGTAGACCTGTGGCTGATGATTTTTCAGTCTTTTCTATTTCAACTGGAATTCTCGGCGGTCGAATAGAGGCTCTATGCGGTGTTGATTTCTTCTGATCTTGATTTCTCTCGAGGTCTGTCTGAGGTCAACTGCACGTCTCCAGTTGCTTCTGTCTTCTACTGTACTTTTCACTTGCATCCATGTTAGTCCATACTGTTTCAGCTCCTCTTCACACGATCTCCTCCATGTCACCCTTGCACCGACGAACCACTCGCCGCTTCCCTTTCGGGTTCCACTCGAGCACTGGCCTGACGCGCGATGTCACCCAGCCGCCTCCTCAGCGAGTGTCCAATCCATCTCCACTTTCTCCTGCATATTTGTTGGGCGATTGGTTTTTGTTTTGTTTGTTCCCATAGTTTCTTGTTAGTGATTCTTTCCGGCCATCTGATCTTGAGTATAGAACGAAGACAATTGTTGATAAAGGTCTGCAACAGGCTGTTGGAAATATTCTTTGTGACCCGCCAAGTTTCTGATCCGTATAGCAAAATTGACTTGACGTTTGTATTGAAAATCCGAATTTTGTTGTTGATTCTGAGTGACGAAGATTTCGAAATTGGTTTCAGGTTGATGAATGTGTTTCTCGCCTTCCCGATTCTCGATTTGACATCCTCGTTCGTTCCTCCTGTGGTTGAGACAATGCTCCGTAGATAAGTGAATGAAGTAACCTCTTTCAAATCCCTCCCGTTGATGGTGATTGGCGCTGGATGTTGCTGCTGTTGTTGTTGTTGTTTGTTGGTTATTTTCATAACCTCCGTCTTGTCTATGTTCACCTGGAGTCAATCCTGTCTTTGCTGCTTCTTCGACCAGTTTGTCGGTTTTCGCTTGTAAGTCTTCGATTTTTTGTGACATCAAACATAAATCATCCACGCGCGAAATCCAGGTCTTCTAGGTTCTTCACGTCAGTCCCGGATATCCCTGTCTTCTCGTTTCCCACTGTCTGACGCATAATCCAGTCCACCACAATTAGGAATATCATTGGTGATAATAAGCACCCTTGTCTGACTCCTGTGTTTACTCCAAACGCCTCGCTGAGTTTTCCGTTGTGGATCACTTGACATGTGCCGTTGTCGTACAGCTGATGAATAAGGTTGATGAATATTTGGGGTACACCGTAGTACTCGAGTGGTTTCCAAATTACTTCTCGGTCAACGCTGTCGAATGCCTTCTCAAAGTCTATAAAGTTGAGGTAGAGGTTTGATTGCCATTCCATGCTTTGTTCGATGATGATGAGGCGTAGAGTTGCAATTTGGTGAGAACATGATTTGCCTTTCCTGAATCCAGCATGTTCTGGTCGGAGTTCTGTATCCAGTGAGTCTTTTATCTTCTCCAGGATGATGCGACTCAGAATTTTACTTGGCGTCGACAGGAGCATGATTCCTCACCAGTTCTTGCAGAGACCTAAGTTGCCCTTCTTTGGTAGTTTCACAAGATAACCTTTTCTCCAATCAGTAGGCACCTTTCCCTCCTTCTAGAATTTTTGCAATAATGGAGTCAGCATATCTGCTTTCGTTTCTGGGTCCACTTTCAGTGCTTCCGGGGGTATTCCATCTGGTCCAGCTGCTTTTCCAGCTTTCAGAAGCTTGATTGCATTCAAAACTTCAGCTTTCGTTGGAGGATTGGTGTCAACTTTCAGTTGTGTACGCGCTGTTTTTGGTATTTCTGGACGGGTTGCAGATGGTGGTCGGTTCAACAGTCCTTTGAAGTGATTCGCCTATTGTTTAATCTGTCTTTCTTCTTTGGTAATTGGGTTCCCTTGGCTGTCTTTTATAGGTTTCAGTTGTGTTGATCTCTTCTCGGATAGAAACTTGGTTATATGATATGATATGATGTTGTGTTTTTTGAATACTCTTCTGATATCATCTGACCTTTGCGGTCTATACAGAATTACAACTGTTGAGGCCCATGTCTTCAGAATACATTTTTGATCATGTTTAATGTTGGTGTTGATTTTGGTAATGAAGTTCTTTTTCTTGAGAATTTCAGTAATTTTTGATATTTCTTTTTATCCTTTTCATTCGTTATAAAAGATTGCGCTGGTCTAAGAACTGTGATTAATTCACTGTATGTGTGTCAATTGTGGCTTGATAATACTTTGGTAAAGTCATCAACAGCATTAAACAGCGAAACATCTGTAAAAACAATATCGTTTTGTTTTTTCACTCATTGAGAAATACAAAAGCTTTTATAACAGTTAATACATTTAACTGATTTTTCAATTAACTTTCTCTCTCTAACAGGTAATCTCAGTACACTAAGCACAACAACAAATATGAAGAATCTCCGCATTTGATAGGATAAATATTCAAATTAAAGATTAGATTTTCCTTGTATTTTTCAATTTCTGAGCATTGACTTTATTACTCAAATTATATGCAGCTATTTTTCTTCTCTCCTACACTTTGTCTGCATTTTATAAACTATTTTTGTACCTTGAAATTATATATTTATTAACCTTACTTTGATTTTGAAGATGAGTTGTACCGGTTATTGATTTTAATTGATGTGTAACTTGGACTATTTTCAAATATTATGTATATATGTCTTATTTCATTCAAGACAATATTCAGTTTTTGGTGTGGTTGTGTTTTCTGAGCTGGATAGTTAATTTGCGAAGCTTTCATTACCTTACTAGGCAACATCTTCATCGCATACTTCAGTTGGAAGTGATCTCTTAGATTTCTCCACGAGTTTACTAGTCATCTCTCCTGGCAGGTGACCTTGAACGTGATTGGTTGTCTATGTGTGTTTTCACATCCTCTAGGCTATTTGTATTGGAACTGATTGCTTGCTTGACTTGAACTTTGACCCTTTGTGTATGAGGTTTCCTTCTTATCGGTTGGTAAATTTTGTCTATCTGGATGTGTCTATTGATTGGCGATTCACTAGAATACTAGGCTTCTAAAAATTCTCTAGAATTCTTGGTGTATCCTCTGTCTAATATTTGAACGTTAGTTGTCCCATTCTAATAGATGTCCGTGGTTGTCTGTATGCAGCGATGTGAGGGAGTGAATGTCATGTCTTTTGACGGTTAGTTTATGCTTATGGATACGAAGACGAAGGGTATGTCCACTTTGGCCAATGTAGTGTTTTTCTCAGTCGTTACAATTTATTTTGTAGATGATGTTGGTTTTATCTTCTTTCGTTGTTCAGTCTTTTGGTTGACATAGAGCTGAGTGAAGTGATTTTGTTGGTTTGTGTGCGACATCAATTCCTAAAGGTTAAAAGAGTCTCGCAGTGATTTCTGAAATGTTGTCTTTTACATATGGTAGGGTGAATTTCTTTGTGCTTTCCTTGGGGGTATATGTCTTTTGATGAAATTCCGTGGATATCCATTTTTTTTTGGAAGACGTCCATTAGATATCTTTCTTCAATTTTCCTTAAGGTAAGACTGCTGCAATGAGTCCTGGCCCTCTTGAAAAGTGTTTGTATGCAATTCCTGTTGTGTGCTATTGGGTTGTTGCTGTTGTAATTCAGTATTTGGTCTGTGTGAGTTGATTTTCTATAAACTTGAGTTTCTAATTCCCCTTTGGTTGTTTACTTGACTAAGACGTCCAAAAATGGGATTTAACTCTCGGATTCCTCTTCTCTTGTGAATTTGATGTCGTTGAAGACGTTGTTTATTAAGTTGTGAGTTTTATCCAACTCGTTTCGTTTGATTATCGCAAATGTGTCGTCTACGTAACGTATCCAAATTTTGGGTTTGATCTTTGGTAGGTTTATGTTTTCAAGCCTTTGCATCACTGACTGCTTCTGCAATCAAACCTGATATTCAGTGAATATTGGTATTTTGTTATGGTTTGTTTCTTCGTAGATTTGAACTATTCAATTGTAGTTTTAGATAGTGAAGCATTGTTAGATATGATAGTGAGGATTTGTAGTTTAGGGGGATGAAATGGATGTAGTTTTGCTGCCTCAGCTGGATCGTTTAGTTGTTAAGCCTTCATTGTCTTTCTAGGTGACGGACGGTCAGGTCATCAACAGGTTACAAGATTTCATCATGAACTGATTTCCGTTAGAGAACCACTGAAAAGACCTGGGAGTACTGGACAGCCGTTTCGTCCTAGTTTGGGACTCTTCGGTGGCACGCGCCCACCGGGGTTCGAACCCATCACCTTCCGGTTATAAGGCGAGCTCGTAGACCATTAAGCCACTGGGACCTGATCCAGTAGTCCATGAATTCCAGCTTCTGTCAATTCACGATGTAGCGAGACCACTAGCCGATGTCATCGGCTATATCCTTTCATACACCAGTTCCTCTTTTAATGAATTTGAGCAAAGCAATCATACCAATACATGGTTCGGGATGAAAACGGATCTGTCGCTTATTTCGTCAGTATCCTGTCAGCTGAATAATAAAAGGTCATAGTTTCATGATAGTCTTAACATACTTTAATTCAATATGAGAAAAATCCCCACTTTGAAATTTAGTAGGCGAAAGGATTGAATGAAGAAATATTTATCTTTCATGAAGAACATAAAAGACTATTCAGTCGAGAAAATTTTCTTTACTAATGAAGTCATCTTCAGATGCTGTACAAGCACGTATTTATATTAACCAGAAATGTGTAGTAGTCTATTGTTGAGTAATAGAAGGAAGGGTGTTATAATTACTCGGAAGTGGTTTCTAAAGTAAAACCAGAAACTACGTAATAGTCAGCGGCATAATGGAAGAAAAGGTTTAAAGTTTGATAAGGTTAAACCTGTTATTTAATGAGAGAAAAATTAGTTGAGTGTTCAGTTGGCAGGTATGAAGAGATTAGGAAAATGTACAAAAGGAACATTTAAGAGTGATAGTAGTGAGTTAATTAGTAGAAGCAAGGAAGCGAACAATTAGAAAAGAGATGAAGACCATGGCAGAACAAGAAACTGGAGAAACCTTTGCTGTACACAGAGTTCCGGATTGTAATGACGAGTCGCCAGTGCCTTTACTATAAACAAATGCCGAAGCCTAACATTTTAAAAGACGACTCTGGTGTAGACGTGCGGCCTGAGTCCACCATGTGCCTCAGAATTGACCTAGTAACTATCTTACACTGTCCTCTTGCCACATCTATGTGCATTTATCAATTCAACTGCACCTGCGGTGACAGTTATATTGGGCGTACTACTAGACAACTTAGCCAACGTGTTAGTGAACATCTCCCATCGTGGTTTGGCAAAGGACAGACAAAAACAATTCGTAGCTCAATCTTGTCACACTTAATTGATAGTGGTCATGTAATCAAGAAAACGAGAGCCTTCAAAGTAATTCATCGTATCCCCCCGAATCTTTGCAGTAGACTTCGTATTCGTTTATTGCACACAGCTGAGGCGATAGGCATTCGAACTATTAAACCTAAGCAATGTATTCAAAAACGTTCGTACAGCCATTATCCCACTCTTGGCCTATTAAGACATAACCAACTAATGACTTCTACACCACCCCTTGTTTATATTTTCAACCCCTTTCTTATCATCCCTTAATCTTATCTTCATTATAAACGTGTTTCATTTCCTTCCCTTACAATCTAACATTACTTAATCGGTTCATTTGTTTTTACTAGCCTTTATCGACTACTTCCACCTGAATAGTTGTTTGTTTAATCATACTGTTTTTTCATTATTCGTGTTATTACAGATTGCCTCACTTTTTCATCCTTATTATTGATAAGACCATTTTTATTATTACTAGTATTATTATTATTATTACCATTACTACTATTATGACTAATTGCACAATTTATATTCACCATCGTATGATCCTGTAGAAAAAACACCATGATCGGATTATATTTGAATTTTTATTTGTAAACTTACATATATTAGAGTTAAGCCTGATGAGATCTAATTGAAAACAATATTGTTCGCTTAAATGTGTTGTTCCATATATAAATATATATACATATATAACAATTTTTAATGAAATACAAAAATTTACCAATCGAGTGGTGATAAGTTTGTTAACAATGATTAAGCCAGTTTATATGAAAAATAAAGACCAATTAAAGTACAAAAAGGACTTAAGAATAATTAACCTACCTAGGTAATCCCTACTTGATTAGATAAGCAAACGTAATGTTAATTATTCTTAATAATGGTTAGTCAGTATCAACATGTCAAGGGGCTGATAAATAACCAAGAAAATTATTACAACAGTTTAAAGGGTAGAAAAAATTGCAAAAGTCAAATAAATGGATTACATAATACACAATTTCGAAAAAATAAGGAGAGTGGTTAGAAAACACAAACTTGTGTTCGAAATGATCACGGAATAAGCAATTAATGATGGATTAGTCAGAATAATAAAATATGACATTGATAACTTGTGAAAGGCTTAGGGGGAGAGGTAAACTGACAGTTCTCTTTTTTTCATCCTTGTAATGATTACCAGGGTAGGGGAAGTGATTGTACAAATTCCTCCTGAACAAATAGGTCTGACTTCTTCAGGTAGATTCCGATGGCTTCAGTTATGTGTAGAAGACAAACAAACTTATTCAGATAGTGGAAAATAATTAAAAAAATACCCACCAAGACATTTGAAAGAAAAAATAAGAGGCTCAGCGTTAAAGCAAACCTATCATCAATAGATTGGTAAGTTTTCGTATAGCATTAAGAATGGTTAAATATATTAGAGTAAATCCATAGATGAGGATCTAACTGAAATGCAAATATCTCTTCGCTCAGTACTGTATTTCACCGAAGATAAAATGTGAAATAATAATTAAGAGTGATCATCAGTTTGTTTCTTCCACTGACTGATTGGACCGAATTGTTCGGTCTCATTTGGCATATCAGCTCCTATAACGGACGCTTGGACGACGTGTGAGGATTAATATGATGTCTGTACTAGTAACCAACATGTCAACAATATTCACCTGAACAAATAATAACTGACACCCGTTTCATGATCGGTAGTTTTCGTAGCTCAAGTGGTTTAGTAAATAAAGATTTGGAGTTTCAAACAATGGGTGCTGGGCTCGAGTCCCAGTGGGAACACCATCACTTACTGAAGATTGCAGGTGACGAGTCCCAAATGGGGCGAAATTCACTCCATGGATTACACCGATAGTCACCATCCACTAATTAAGAATAATCATAGTATATAGATGAATCGAAATGCCAAGTTAGTAAAATATACTGATTTACTTATATGTGTAATATGATCAAAGTTTCTCGAATAAAAAAGAAAGTGCGTAGCAACGAAATATTGAGGAATATATACTACAAGATTGCACAAATCACTAGAAAATTGTTAATACGCAAATGAAGTATGAAAAAAAGTATGAGTTAAGTTCATCTATTTAGATATGAGACATGTGAAGAATGAGGCTTAATAAATGACGTAAATAAGTAAGTGTTTAAAAGGTGAAGGGATGTTGACGTTTATGTAAAGTACGCTGTATACAAACACAGGTTATTATCCTTTAACTTTCATAGTACTTGCTCTACTGAAACTAAAGACAAACTGATCGTTCAAAATACGAGATCTGTTTCAGGATCAGAAGTGTAGTGTGATGGTGACTGTTTAGTTAGATA